GAGAATCACTTGTACCAGGGAGTCGGAGGTTGCAGTGAGCTGAGAATGCACCACTGCACTCCAGCCTGGTGACAGAGTAAGACCCCAGCTTAAAAAAAAAAAAAAAAAAAAAAGGAAAAAAATAAATTTGTCAGAATCCTGGAGGGAAACATTTTAGATGTTAGGAAAACATTGTACACTAATAAAGGTGTCAGTCAGTAGTAATTTTGGAAATCATTTATAAGGTACTATTGTTGCAAAAAACAGGAGGCAGGAGAGACCCTGTGGGTGAAACAGGAGGATTTCATTTAGGTGCACATCAGCTCAGCAGATTTGCATCCAAAAGCTGAGCCCTGAACAAAGGGAGGGCTTGGCTTATATAGGCAAGCTTCCAGAAGCAGAATAAAGGCAATTAATCATATAGTGACAGTTTTGCAACCTCAGCATAGCCTGTGACCTTGCAGCTGCTTTGAAGGAAAACAGGAACTTGCAAAATATATGCATTTATAAAAATAGCTATGAGTAAATGCTGAGGGGAAGGGGAGATGGGAAAGGAATTTGTTTTCTTAACCTTGCTCTGGGATGTGTGGAGCCCATACCTGTGCACTCTGGCTTCCCAGACAGGGTCACCACGACCTTTCCTGGGTCCTGCCTGTTGCTATCCTTAGAGTCAGAGTAGCTAAGTGCAGGAAAACTAAATTTTCTTTTCATTACATTTACTGCTTCACTGTTAGGAAGTGGAGAACAACATACCGTGTCACCTTATACGTTTCTACTGTATTTTAAAGTTGTGTTTCTGATGGTTTTGTTCATTTCTGTTGGGTGGATGAATTTGTGAGTGAATCACATCAGGTGTCTCCCCAGGTGGTTTGTTGAAGTTTTGGATAATTATTTCCTAAGTAACTATTTCATGAAAGACTAAACCCTGAATTTATGAAATAAAATAAAATGTTATCTTAAATCTATTTTTATAAAGACAGTAGTTTTTAACTGTTCCAAGTGGTTCATTTTAACTGAATACATGAGGTTGTATGTAATTACCTCAAATTAGTACTACTACAGAGTAATCAGTACTGGTAAAGTAAAAGTAGCGCTAAAGTAGTACTAATAAAGTAGTACTAATAGCCCTACGCTAGTAGTGGTAATAAAGTGGCATTGCTATTGATTCTATCCATCTGTCTACCTACCTGTCTGGATGGGAGGGCACAGGATTTGACTGATAAGATTGGGCTTAGCAGTGAAAAGAGCTCATATATGCTTTAAGCAGGTATACACTCAAACTTGGTATCGTGACTGTTCTGAATTCCAGAACCATGGCTAAAGGGTGGAAGTTTTGTTTGACTGTGTCTCACATTTTCCTTTTGGTCTATTGTCTAACACATGTTGCTAGAATTCATTTTACTCTGACTACCTTTTATGTACAGACAACGCTGTTATTGACGAGATCACACCCAAGCAGATCAGAGATTGGCCCAATACTTACACCTACACCAAGGCCTTGGGAGAAATGGTGGTGCAGCAGGAGAGCAGGAGCCTAACCATCGCCATCATAAGGCCCTCCATTGTGGGAGCAACGTGGCATAAGCCTTTCCCAGTAAGCCCACTTACCTGGATTCTGTGTTTTGCTTTCAAACTAAGGTTTTTCTAGCCCAATTATTTTCTGATGTCTTTCTTCTTCTCCTCAGGATTTATAGCTAAATGCAGCCAATCAAATATGAACCCATTATACTAGGGCAAAATCCCACTTTGGGATCATGAGGCTCTTCTGGCAGTTACCCTGACTATCTTAGAGTTGGATGGAGATCTTAAATTAGCTTCTAACTACTCTAGTCTCAAAATTCCCATGGGTGATGTTTTTATATCTTGGCTTTCCCACTATAGCTTAAACAGACCAGAATGTTCTTGATGGCCAACTTGATAGTATTGCAACTAACTGCCAGGGTAAACGAGTTACAAAACTCACAGAAGGATCTCAGTTTGGGAATAGTAATTTTTTTTAACCTCAGTATACTGCTGTGTCTTCTGAAAGTACTTTGAATTATACAAAGTCTTCTTCAAAGCAGGTCTGTGAAGCTTTGGGGGCAGATAAATTCCAGCTCCACCACTTACTGGCAATGCGACATTTTTGAGTTGTTCTTTCCATAAAACAGGACAGATACTACTTTGGAGAGTTGGTTTAATGAGACAATGTATGAGGAGAGGAGTGCTCAGACTCTAGTAAAAGGCGGGTCCCTACTGAAAAGGCTCAATTAATATTAGTCCCTTCATCTTCTCCTCCCATATCTCTTGTCTCCCATTATACACATTTCGACTTTTATACTGTAAGGTAAAGAGACATAATAAGGTAAGCTGAATGGCTTGGGGCTTAGGAAACAAACTCAAAAAGACATTTCCCTCTAACTACTCTTAAGCATAATCTTTCCTGTAACATCTTTAAGCAAGTCAACACACATTATTACCAATCATGTTTTCAATGTTCTCCTAAGGAGGCTAAAATCAGGACTGAGGTGGAGAAGTATGGTGGTGAATTGCTTAGCAGATCATGATATAAGGACAAGGTCCACCGTAGCCCTTAAGATGTCACAAAACGCTGCAAAACCATTCATGGCTCCTGCTATGAACAACAATCCTGGCCAAATTTTAATTATTGGACAAAGTGCAGAAAATAGCCAATGCTTTGCCATTGATCTTTGGGATCTTAATAATACTGAATTAGATAGTTCTATTAGCTGGGGTCTCAGTGCCCTTGTTTGAAATTTATTGAGATTAGACTGCAGATGTTCCAAGATAACAACAATTTTCTAAAATGTGTAACCAATGGAAATCTTCTTTCTTTTAGGGTTGGGTTGATAATCTAAATGGACCTAGCCGACTCATTATTGCGGTATGTATAGGGATGAAGAAATAACTCTGAAATGTAGTGGAAGAATAGTAACAGAATTCTTAGCGCTGGCTTAGCTTCATTGATCCAAAAATGTAAATGCTACTTTACTATCAATTGAAGCATATTATTTCAACTATTCTGGTTATAATATGAAGGCAGGATGAAATTATTTTTATTCTTTTAGAATTTTTTATCAGGAAAACAGATAAAGCGCTATCAATTACTATTTAAGAGTCCTATTTTGAAAAGTCTTTGAGAATTAAGGATTTTTCTTTTTTCTTTTAAAAAAAAAAAAAAACTTTTTTAAACTTAAAAATAAAACCAGCGAAAGTCTTATAAAAATGAAGCAAGTAGCCCAAAAAATGCCCACCTGCCGCTCTATATACAGTAATGCAATATTTGTCACAGTTTTGTACAATATTATAAAAAATGTCGCAGACAGTACCAATTAAGGCCCTTATTTCTCATAGGACATCAAGCCTTATGACCTGGTAGGGTGGGAGGGAAGATGCCACTTAATTATTGCACCATTTTGAGAAACAGAACTCGTCAGGGCGAATAGTGGTCTTTTCCCACCTGGCCTTCAGTCACAGATGGGGGCTGGGGCGGTGGCGTCGTCTTCAGACCCTCTGTAGCCACATTGTGCCCTGCCCGCTTCTCTGGGTGCAATAAATACCGGTCACAGTTTGGGAGGGGGCCTTGCGCAGGTGGGCGGGGGCGTCTGGGCTGCATGTGCCGCTTCCTGTACAGGGCAAGGTGGGCGGAGCGCGAGAAGGCGCGGTGGCACCAGTGGCCCTGAAATGGCCAGTGGCCCCTGTGCTTGGGGTGGTGGAGCCATAGCTTGTCTGAGTGAGCAGCTTCCCGCTGCATCCATCCCAGTGGCAGTGGTCTGGCTTGTCACTTGTGTGCTGCGCGGATGTGCCTTCGGGTGAGATTTCTTGCTGTGGGGCTTGCCCTAGCCGCACAGGCATACATGGTGGTGCCTTTTCCAGGCCAGGAGCGGCCGCCACGCTTGGGCTTGGCCTCCAGCAGCTCCAGCGGGGACGCCGGCGCCACCACGAGGAGACCACGAGCGACTGGGGGTGCCAGGCCTAGGCCCAGGGCTGTGGCAGCGGCGCTGAAGCTACCGAAGACGGGCGGGGGTGGGGGTTGGGGAGCTGTGGGGGGGGGGCGCCTCCTGAAGGCCGGGTTGGGTGTCCTAAGCCAGCGCCACGTTAGGGCAGTGGGCAGGAGGGGCGCAGGCCAGTAGGGGCTGAGGGGCGGGTGTCGGGGGCGGCGGGGGGGACCCGGGACTTCGCATGCATGAAGCCGCCGGCCCGGGGCGCCCTCGTGTTTGAGGCCGCGAGGTCCATGGGTGAACCTGGGTGCGCTGCCCTGGCCGCCGCTGTCCGCTTCAGGGAGCTGGGCCTTGACCAGGCGGCTCGGCAGCGCCAGTAGAAATCGGTTTAGCAGGCCGGGCGCGGTGGCTCAGGCCTGTAATCCTAGCACTTTGGGAGGCCGAGGCGGGCGGATCACGGGGTCGGGAGATCGAGACCATCCTGGCTAACGCGGTGAAACCGTAAAAAAAAAAAAAAACACGCACACACCGTAAACACACACACACACACACACACACACACACACACTAGCCGGGCGTGGTGGCGGCGCCTGTAGTCCCAGCTACTCGGGAGGCTGAGGCAGGAGAATGGCATGAACCCAGGAGGCGGAGCTTGCAGTGAGCGGAGATCACGCCACTGCACTCCAGCCTGGGCCACAGAGCAAGGTTCCATCAAAAAGAAAAGAAACCGGCGGGCCATCCGCGGCGGGTCCAGCTCCGGTCGCAGCAGCTGGGACCCACACCAGGCCATTCACGGGGGCGCCATAGGGCAGCTGCGTGCAGTGTTTGGGTAGCAGGACGCAGACGGCGGGGTCGCGGGGGCTTCGGGGTGTCCTCGGCCCCAGGCCGTCCAGCCCTGTGGACCGAATGAAGTCCCGCACGCCACGTGTTGAGGTAGTGGTGGGTGCCCCTTGCGCGGGGTCAGCCCTCCTGCAGGGGGTGCTCACGGTACGGGCTGGCGAAAGTGGAGACGGACTGCAGGATGGATTCACTTGGCCACATGGCCGGGAGCTGGGAAGACGGACACCGGTGAGTGGCTGCCCTGGTGGGCTGGTCGGGGCGCGGGCAGGGGGGCATGGTTCTGCCAAGGATTTTGCTTTGTTTATCGCAAGATGGAGGTATTTCCTCCTTTCTGCAGTTTATAATTGCATGAATTAGTGCAGTGAATTGAGGAGGCAACAAAAATAATATCTTCAAAGATTATTAAATTCATTATTATAAAACACATACGAGTTTACGTGTATGTATAGAAAGCAGGTATACATCAAAAATTCTTAATGAATACAAGAAAGAGAACTACCAATACTGGAGCAAATTTTTCAAATACAAACATCAGTGAATATAGGCAAGGCCTTTTATTATTATTACTATACTTTAAGTTCTAGGGTACATGTGCACAACGTGCAGGTTTGTTACATGGGTACACATGTGCCAGCAACGCCTTTTCAATAATGTCTTACAAGGAGAAACGTGGCTCCTCTAGGTAAACAGCCCTCAGTGCGCATCTCCCTGAAGTCCAGATGGATCCGGTAGAGCTGTGGGGTTCACAGCTCACACTGAGGCATTTAGGGCCTAAACGCCACTTTACTTTTTTGTACAGTGAGTAGGAAATCAGTGATCTAAATGAGTTTAAATCTTATTAGGGATTCGAACTGCGCTTCAGACTCTGTCTCTATTCCTCCCAGAGCTAGATTCAACATGAATTAAAATACAAATATAAAACAATGAATTATGATAGTGACAAAGACCTTCCTTCGAATTTCAGATTTTTCCAGCAGCCCCTTTCTGTTTCCCACCTGCTTTCAACTCTCTCCTAAAAAAGTTCAGTTGGGGTGAATGTTTGGTGACGTAGAACATCATTATTTTAACATGATCCCAAAGCGGTTTTCATTATATGCAAAGATGCATATTTATTTACATTTTTAAAAATGTTCTAAATTGGTTTCTTATGTCCAAAAGAAGGGGAGCTAGTTATAAGAAAAGAGAATTGAGTAAGGTAAGAAAGTGCTAATCATTTCAAATCAAAGTGGGAAACATGCAAAGCAGAAAGAATCAACTTCATAAACTCAACAAATTATTAACGTAAATAATTCCCAACTCCTGTATCTATATAACATCAGTGATCTGTGAGGTGAACTGAGATTCTGAATAAAAAGTAAATAATAAGGCCATTTTTCTAAGCCAAAAAAGTTTTTGTCTTATTAATTGTGGGATTTCACCAATTAATTTTTTTCAAATAAAATTTCTTAAACTTTTAGTGCCTACTATTGCTTGTGGGTTAATAAACCCTAGCAGAAAACAAAATCATCAAGGAAATGGTAAACATTAATGGGAAATTTGTGTAACCTTAATAACGTGTCTTGTTAATTACTTTTTAAAATGTGAAGGTGTATTCTTGGTGTTTGGTAATTAACTAAGTTTATTAACCTCTCACAAATATGAGGAATTTTATTCCCTAAAGGAACGTGAGGAACACTAGTAGTTCAAGAAAATGCTGAAGGTGACCTTGGCTGAGAAGCTAGGATAGGCTGACGAAGTCAGACTTTGTGTAGGAACCTGGTAAGCGATGGATCGATGTTACCTGTCTTCACTTATTGCAATAGTATAATCAGTTTGATGATACATACTTTAGCCCCAGCTGTTACTTAAGACCCGGTTTCACATTTTATGTTCTTTTTCCTGTGCAGGCTGGGAAAGGGTTTCTTCTGGCCATAAAAACTACCCCAATGGCTGTGGCAGACTAAATTCCAATTCCGGTTGATACAGCCATCAATCTCCCGCTAGCTGTAGGATGGTGTGCTGCAGTTCACAGGTGTGGATGCTCAAGTGGGCTTTCAAAGATTTCATGAGAGGGAGGGTTCATCTATTAGGCACATTTTCCAAATATAGGCATTTCATTGTATAAGACCCCAAATGTGAGAGGGTGTTCATTTCAATATTTTATAGAGTTCCTAATATGCCATCATATATATGTTGAGTTGTTTTCAAAATACAGTTTAGTACTTGGCTACTCACAAAGTAATAAAACATTTAAATCACTTAACCATAAAATTCTTGATAACCAAAAGGCTTTTCTTTCTATTGGTAGTTTAACATTCAGCTTTCTTTTTTAGGGCAAAGGAGATAGAACTGGATGAAATGAGAGAATATTTTTTTTAATTGAACTCTGGTTAATGCCAAAAGTGTTCAATCACTATGTGTGGGGAAGTTTCCTGGTACAAAGGAAAAAAAAAAAAAAACAGGTTGTTCATACATTTGGCTGCGTTAGTAAGTGGTAAACAGAATTAAATTTTTCTTATGTGAACTCACACATATGTGCTTCATAATAATGTCACTCCTATTTAACACATGTCTTTCATACACACACGCACCCCCCCACATACAGCCTTTTGCTAGTCTTCTTCCAGTTTGCTTATTAACCCAAAGAAAGAAAAAAATACGGAAGCCTTCTTGCATAGGTTGCCTTAATCAGATGAATTATGGAAACAACTCTGTCTCCCTTATTTTTCTTTCATTAGTTTTCCATTCTGTTGTATTTATTTAATTTTTATTTCATTTTCCAGACCTAAGTCAATGTTAGTCTACCACTGTACATCTGGTAACCTCAGTCCCTGCAATTGGGGCAAAATGGGTAAGTACTTTAGCCATGTATCTGCATAATTACTAGTGTCTGACACAGAGAAAAAATAGACAAAGTGTGTCATGGAGCTTAGAGCCTACATGGGGAGAAAGACAAAGTAAATAAAGAGACAAAATAATGAGAAATTGTAAATCTGTGGTAATTAACTAGAAGGTACAAGGAAAGGAGTCATTGGGAACACATACATGATTGTAAGCAGTAGGGGGTCCATTGGCTATAAAGATTTTAAAAAACAGTGATGAAATAAAGCAAAAGTTGGCAGTTATAAAGAATCTCAGTGATAAAATGCTGAAATACTCCTCCCTGCTGGGGCAGTGGGTCCTATACACACCCCTTCCCTTCTTGATACATCACTGAGAATGTGACGTGATCAGTGACCAATGAGATTTAGAAAAGTCGAGTGATCTTATTCCTTCCTGATTGCATCTGTAATATTGATCATTAATTTATGCAACTTGCCTCTCTTGGGTGTGCATTAACTACTCTACTAGTGATTTGTAAAAGTGAATAGGAATCACTATGGGAGAATAAAACAACATCCAGATTCCTTAGACCCTGGGACCAAGGTCTTGGGTGATGCTGAGGAAACTATATTTTTAATAAGCATCTAGATGATTCTTGATACTTGGGGAAATGCTCTTTGAGAAACCCTGTACTATACAAATGATTGATTTGTCTGAAGGTAAGGGATTTAATCTGTTCAATGTACAAAAACCATGGAAATCAATTTGAGTACAACTTAAACATCTAATGATGGTAGAAGATAAAAATAGGGAATTTTGCTATTCTGTAGGATTTCTTAGTACCTGTGAACACACCCCTTCTGTCCCTGTTACATAGATGACACTAGCTCTTCATATTCCAATGGGAAGCCATGGTACCACACTGAGAGTTCTATTACAGGACAGCTGGACACTGTGGCTCATTTATATATTGTGGCTTTGAATTGAAAAATGCTTTTCCAGGAATGAAAAATACTTGGCATGCATGTTTCCTCTACCTTTCTTACACCTATAGCAAACATTGTAGGCTGATATGACATTGGTTATCCCTGTGCCAAGGCTCTGTTCTGGATTCCCTTCTAACACAGCATTTCTGGAAGCTATTACTAATTAATTTGATGTTGCATTCAAATTAAACTCATTTGTGTTTCCTATCGGGGACTCTTAGGAGGGATAAAAATGCTTCCTACTAGGAGCAATAGCCATGTTAACAGGAGGTTGAGCATATATAGTCTCAGGTGATATTACAAGGAGTGATAGCTGGGTGGGTGAACATGGGCTCTCTCTCCATAGAATTGTCTCCTTTAGTGTCCCTTAAGAAGAGTTTTTAATCTCCTGCATATAGGTCTTAAGCATCTTTTATCAGATTTATACCTAGGGCCTAGGTAATTGATGCTTTTTTTTTTTTTTTTTTTTACTAATTTAAATGTCTTTTGTAAAAATATATTTTTTAATTGTTTGTGGATGATGTCAAATACAATTGATTTTTGTATATTGACCTTATATTCAGCTATCTTGCTAAACTTATTGCTAGAAATTGTATAAAATTTCCTCTTGATTTCCTATGTAGACAGTTACTTAATCTGCAAAAATACCAGTATTATCCCCATTTTTTCAAGCCTTAGGTCTTTATTTTTCTTGTTGATGGTGCCATCTCGGCTCAATGCAAGCTCTGCCCCCTGGGTTCATTCACACCATTCTCCTGCCTCAGCCTCCTGAGTAGCTGGGACTACAGGCGTCCGCCACCACACCTGGCTAATTTTTTGTATTTTTAGTAGAGACAGGGTTTCACCGTGTTAGCCAGGATGGTCTCGATCTCCTGATCTCATGATCCGCCTGCCTTGGCTTCTCAAAGTGCTGGGATTACAGGCGTGAGCCACCACGCCCAGCCTTCTTGTTGAACTTCTACTATAATGGTGAATACAAATGGCAATAGTGCATATTGTTGTCTTGCTGCTAATTTTAAGCAGAAGACTTCAAATATTAAACTCTCCTGCCATTTTTTAGGATAAACCCAACTTGGTCATGCCGTGTTATCTTTTTTTATATTTTGTTTAATTCAATTTGCTAATCATATAGTTCCCTTGTTTTTTCTATTCTCTGAAAGTGCTTAGTGGAGTGAAAGTGTAATAGTGGAGTAATCTGTTCCTCCAAAACTTGGGAAAAGCACCTTTAAATTATCTGGATTTATAATTTTTTGTGAGAACATTTTTTATTGCTTCAGTGTCTTTAATAGTTAAAGAATTTTGCAGGCTTCATTTTCTGCTGGAATCAGTTTTAGTTATATTTGTCTCTTTTTCTAAGATTTTATCTGTTTTAAAATGTATTTACGTTGTTTTCATATTATATTAATATTTTTGTCCTAAACTGTATCTGTAATTATGCTTCTGTTTTAATTCATAATATTTGTGTGTCTTATCTTTTCTTAGCTAGTCTCTAAAGGGTCTACTTTATTTCTTTTTTTCAAAGGACCAACTTCTTCTGGCTTTATTGACTTCTTTTCTCTTCTCTTCTCTTTCTTTTCTTTTTTGATAGAGTCTCGCTCTTGTTGCCCAGGTTGGAGTAGAATGGCATGATCTTGGCTCACCACAACCTTGCCTCCTGGGTTCAAGCAGTTCGCCTGCCTCAACCTCCTGAGTAGAGTAGCTGGGATTACAGACATGCGCCACCACACCTGGCTAATTTTGTGTTTTTAGTAGAGATGGGGTTTCTCCATGTTGGTCAGGCTGGTCTCGATCTCCCGACCTCAGGTGATCCACCCACCTCGGTCTCCAAAAGTGCTGGGATTACAGGCATGAGCCACTGAGCCCAGCCTATTGACTCTTTATTATGCTGCTGTGTTTTCAGTTGCAAAGATGTATTGCCTTATCTCTTTTTTCCCCTTCCTCCTGTTTTCTTTGATTATGTTTTTCTTCTCTTTAACTTAGAAATATAGCCCACAAATATTCGGCTTGTCTAATACATGCATTCGTGGCTTGTATTTCCCTCAAATGCCACTTTGGCTGTATCCCACACATTTTGTTGTATAATGTTTATGTTATCATTACTCTCTAATCCTTAAACAGTTTTCATTTGAATTTCTTCTTTGACCTATGAGGATGTAGAGTGCAGTTTTCAATTGCCAAATCACATTTTCTACATGTGCATGAGTTTCTACTTGTCCCTCACATCAGAAAGACGGTAGCTTCATGGTTAAAAGTCTTGGGCTTTGGGATCTGATAGACTTGGATTCAAATCCTAGCTCATTCACTTACTCCTGTATTCATTAAATAGGCATTATTCTTGGTGCTGAGGATGTATCACTAAACAGAAATCCGTGCTCACATAGCTGTTATATGCTGGGATGCGTCCCACCATTCAGTAGACTCCACTGCTTATTAGTTGTATCAGTTTGAAAAAGTCTCTCAGTTTCTCCCTGTATATCAATTTTTTTAAATCTGTGAATGAGAATAATAATTATTCTATTCTAGGGAGCTCTTTGGAGAATGTAGGGAGATAAAGTGCTTCGTACAGTGGTTAGAACAGTGAACATTTTAGTAAACGCCTGCGATCACCATATGGACAGCTTTCTCAGAAAGCCTTCCTAACCCAGCCCCACCCCTCCCCTTCCTGGCACCCAGACAGAGCTAGATGCTTCTTTTGTATTCCTCCAGAGCTTATTGTACTGGCCTCTAGCAGAATACTCAGGCAAAGTATTGTAATCATGAATTGTCCACATCTCCCACCAGATTGCCAATTCTTTAAAGACAAGGAATATGTCATATGTAATTTTTTTTACCTCAGCATCTACCACAGTGCCTGGCAAGTGTTAAATGCTAAATAAATATATTTGAAATGACTAAAGGAAGGATTGACACAGATTTAGGAAAAGGAAAGTAATTGTATGTTGCCGAGATATTTATTCATTCATTTAGTCAAAAAATGTTTATTAGTCACTGAGTCAGCCACTCTTTAAGGTACTGTATAAGTTCAAACAATGCACACAAAATTTCGTTCTGGTATTTAAATCTTAGGAGAAATATACATCAGATATGGTTGAGTGCAGAAAAATAAAGGAAATTAAAGAAGTAAATAGTGTTGTGGGAAGGCTGCTATTTGATATGTGATGGCCAAAGAAAGTCTCTCCGATAAGGTGTCTTCTTAGTAGAGACCTGAAATAAATGAGAGGGCAAATCAGAAGGACATGTGGATGAAATATTCCAAGTTGAAGAAACAGTAAGTGCTAAAGTTCTTTAATCATATTCAAGGACAGCAAGGAGGCCAGTATGGCTGCAGCAGAAGCACTGAGAGGGAGAGCGGTAAGAGATGAAGTCAGAGTGGTGGGCAGAGAGAGAGGATGCAGAGAGTGCAAGGCCTTGCAGACCATGGCTTTGCCTCTAAATGAGAAGAGATTCCATTGAAGGGCTCTGAATGGAGAAGTTCCTGTAATACACCCTGAGTTACATTTTAGAAGAATCACTCTGGCGGCTACATGGAGGTCCGACTGGGGATACAGGGGTAGTGGCAGAGACCACTTCGGACAGTATTGCAACATTCCAGGCTACAGTAGTGGTTTTGATCAGAGAGATAGCAGGTGGAAATTATGATTCTGGGTATTTTTCAAACAGAGAGCTGATAGATTTTGTTCAATTGTGTGTGTGTTGTTAAAGAGAAGAATCAAGGATAACCCCAAATATTTTGGCTGAACTAAACAAATTGAATTACCATTTGGTCAGAGGTAGAAGATTGGTGAAACAGCAAGTTTGTGTACGCATTGGGAAGGGGGTCATTAGTAGTGGGTATATCAGGAGGCCCATTTTAGAGCTGTTAAATGTGAATGTCTATTACACCTCCAGTTGGAAATGTTGAACAAGTATATGGATATATAGATCAGAATGTCAGTGTGGAGATCAGAATCTCTTATGCTATCAACCTGTACATAACTTTTTAATTTACCACCATCTTTTTAAAGTATAAATCCCTATGGACCAGATGATTCTTGAGAATCTTCTCTGAAGAGGAGCTACATTTTTCAGATAGATTTTTAGCTGGCATTTTTAAAGTAGGGCAATAATCATATTACTGTAATAACTGACATCATAATTAAATAATGAGCTTAGGCATATGCTTTGCAAAAACCTACATACCTTAAATAAAATTGAATTCAAATGAGTATCTTTTCGAAAGAACTACTGAATTCACAAATGTATGTAAAAAGTTCTTAATTAAGCTTACTCTATAAAAAGAAAAACACTATTATGAATAAAACCCTGGATAGCAGAGTGGACAACTGAGTCTGACATATTCCCAGAGAAATATTGAAAGTAAACTAACACAAGAAAATATTGCCTTTAGAATTTTTTAGTTAAACTTTTAATAAAGATTGAAATAAAATGTTAAGAAACTTTCTAAATGGTTCTGAAAGTAATGGTCCAGCCAGGGAAATAAAGTTTCTAGCCTCTGCCTTGGGGCTTTCAGAATAGACTAGATAACCTTAGAATTAAATGCAGATTTATGTTTTTTCTGAACAGTACCCCCTTATATTGACTACATGCGTTTCCCCAGGAATTTGTTTTAGAGTAGATGTTTCAAATAAAGGATCCAATTCTTAACCCATTCACATTGTTTCATTTTGCAGATAACCACTTGCTTAGCATAAAAATCTTTATATTGTTCTCAGAAATTGATTCTTGACTCTACACAGCAAATCCTTTGTCTTTATTGCTGTGACCCATTACAAATACCTTCCACTATGATGGTTTATATTCTCCTATTCTCCTCTAGCACTCTCTCTCTTTTTTTCCCCAGGATTCCAGGTCTTGCCAACCTTTGAAATTCCAATTCCATTTGAGAGAGCTTTTAGGAGGCCATATGCTGATTTCACCACCAGCAACTTCACAACCCAGTACTGGAATGCCATCAGCCACCAGGCCCCTGCCATCATCTATGACTTCTATCTGTGGCTCACTGGAAGGAAACTCAGGTGAGAAGCTGAGTCAATGGCTTTGAGAGTGTCACTGCATATGGGAGATTGAGGCCCCAAAGTCTTTAGTGCTTCCTTCAGCCAAGGATTAAAGGAGACGACTGAATCTGACCCATATATACAAATTGAACACACCTACTCTGAAAATCCAAAATCTGAAATTCTCCAAAATCCAAAATGTTCTGAGTGCTGACATGACGCCACAAGTGGAAAATTCCACACATCTTATCTCATGTGATGGGTCACAGTCAAAACACATTCAAAACTTAGTTTCATGCATCAAAGTATTTAAAATATTGTTTAAAGATTACCTTCAGGTTACATGTATATGGCTAAGTGTGTATGAAACGTAAATGAATTTTGTGTTTAGACGTGGGTCCCATTCCCAAGATATCTCATTACATATAAGCAAATATTCCAAAATCTGAAAACAGTTGAAACCCAAAACACTTCTGACCCAAGCATTTCAGATAAAGGATACTCAGCCTGTATAAGTTTTGAACAAACAAAGCAGTCATAGTGAGAAGCCACAAAAGCCTCCTACATTAGAAATGCTCCAGCATAATAAAAGAAGGTAAATGTTAAAGAGCTTGCTTGATGAATTCAGCAAGTGATCATTCACCCAAAAAGAAAAGCAACTGAGGCTCTGTGACTAGGGTTTTTCAAATAGGTAGATCATCTTAAATATACAATAATGATGGCAACCTCACTTACTGGGAGCTTACTCATGGGGCTAAGGAGGATGCGTGATGATCCCATTTTTATTGTCAAAGCTACTGAAGGAAGATATCCTCATCAACCCAATTTTACAAATGGAGAAATAGAAGCTAAGGGAAGAATCTGAAGTAGTCTCAAAGGAAGTGACAGGAAGGATATGGAGAAAGCAGAGTGTCAAAGTCAGTATTCAGGACCAGATTTACTGCCACCTAGAGATGAATGAAGAAATTAGAGGGAACACAGTGTGCTGATGCTACGTCAGCTGTCACCACCTGGCTGTGTGACATAGGACATATTCTTTCTCAGTCTCACTTGAATAATAATATGTGTCAGAGGAGACATTATTGTAATTGCCTAAAGCAATTCTTGTGATCAAGAATCAGAAGCATGAACAGTATTGCCCTCTGTGTTAGCCCCTTTATGAGGGAGGAAGTTGTCTTCAGCATGTTGAATTGTCATCTTTATTAGCAGTGCAAATGACTAAAACTTAGCCAATGTAGAGTTTATCCAAATCTTTTCAGACCTCATTTGGAGCTCATAACTCAGTTCTTGAGCAAAGGGAAAAGAAAACATTGTGATTATGGGGAAAATATTTGTGTGGGACTTATTAAGTAAAGATAGGAAAAGAAGAACACCCAAATATTATAGGCAGAAATGCTAAAGGTTTTAAAATGTGTCAGGATTGGAAGAAGGCCTGGATAAAGAACAAAGTTCAGTTAGGAAAGAGAAACACGGAAGGAAGAGACACAAAAAAAGTCATTATGTATTCTGCGAGAAGTCAGACAATAAGATTTGTGGGAAATGGGTTGGTTTGTTGTATGGTATGTATTTTAGCAATAATCTTTATGGCAGAGAAAGCTAAAATCCTTTAGCTTGTGTGAATGATCACTTGCTGAATTCCTCAAGGTAGGCATGGTGAAGGAGGGTGTAGAGGAGACACAGGTACAATGAACTGACCTAGATATAAAGCCTTAGTATACACTCAGCTAGAAATAGTGATTCTGAGGACATACTGTGACATGATTATGTCATTATGTGTATGGTAGTGATGGGGATGATAGAAAGAAGAACTGATGGCATATTTTCACTTCCCCTCAAAATCAGTTAAATATTGGGACACTATCCAGGTCTAGAAGAGTCACACGCCATAGCCATGGTATGGCGCATCATTCATCTTGCTTTCTTTGAGAATAAGAAGATCAGTAAATAGTCCAGAAGTGGGAAGCTTTGTCCAGGCCTGTGTGTGAACCCAATGTTTTGTTTAGAAATAGAACAAGTAAGTTCACTGCTATGGCATAACACAAAATTTGCTTAAGTGGTGGTCAGCAAATCCTTGAATGCTGCTTAATGTGACAAAGTTGGTAAAATCTTTTGTGCAACACTCTTACTCCCTGAATGTTTTGCTGTGCCAGGGCCTGTGCATGCCAGACAAGTCCAAGCCAGCTCAAAGAACAACCAGCCACCTCTGCCTCCTGCCACCTCTGCAAACTGCCACTTCCTGCTGGCAGGATTTGTTTTGCATCCTGTGAAGAGCCAAGGAGGCACCAGGGCATAAGTCTACTCACTTATATCTGTTTGTCTGGAATGTAACCCATGTTTGTTTGTACAATAAATAAAATTGATCTTGAATGAAAACTGAGTGGTCATTGTCATTGATCTTTGAACCCAGATTAACCTTTTGGTCATGCCTAGTCTAAGAGAAAGGAGATATTCTTATCAATAAATACAGAACCCAGCTATGTCAGTGAAGATCTCAAGTGCACAGGTAGTAGTAGAGGGAAGAGTCAGAGGCCAAAAAGACAGGGATGGCAGACATTGAACAGAGGAGAGTGTGGTGTTTGCCTTTGCATCAACTGAGATTATGGAATGACACCTGAGGCTTGGGGACAGCACCTGCAAGATACCAATAAAGCATTCTAAGAACATCTGTGAAGTGAGAAAATTTGAATTACTGTTGTTCTTGTGGTTATGATTATATTTATGGTTGTTACTTCATTCATATTAATCACCTATGTGCCCAAGTGTAATCATGGAGATTTTTCCCAGACTTTTTTTTATTAGACTCAAGAATTCCCATAGACAAAGGCAATATCACTATCCTATTTATACATTTCTTCTCTCAGTTCTGCAGAGCCAAAATGTAGAGTCCAATATTTTAGATAAGTTATGCAATAAGGGCTGGTTTGGATTATCTAACTGGTACATGAGGCCCAGTGTGCTAGTTTACTCCAGAGGAAATTGGCACCTGTATATAATTGTAGTTAGGCTGATCCCTTGATATCAGAAAAGTTTCTGCTATGCAGTCCTTTTTGGTGATTTCTTAATACATATCCTCATTTTAGACAGTACGAGTGGCATAGATGTACTTGGCAGCAGAATATTACAGATGGTAAACCTTGAGTCTATGTTTTAGTAGCAAGAGCCTTTGGAGTCTTGTGCTTCCCTTGTAGACATCTTCTTAACATCTACATTCTTTTGTCTACTATTGTTACTGCTACTAGTTTCATAGAAATTCTAATTTTCATTTGGGATATACATTTTTGTTATTTGTAAGCTCCCCCTTCTTTTTCATTTTTTCACCCCATTTTCAGACTGTTCTAAAATCAGAAAGGAAATTCTCCTTCATGAGCATGTATATATTTTTGGCTCTTGGAACTTGAGATGGTGCAAGTAAGTACAAGCACATTTTCCAGATAAGGCATGTGAAGTGATTTACGTTTCATAATATGATCATTTCTGATTGACCTTATGTATTATGACCAGCCATAGAGATGGCTGTAAAGAATTAACAACATCAAACAATGTGAAGTTGTTCATTGCATGTATATCAGAACATTGCCGAGATAAAGCCAGATGGAGTCATTAATTTCACCAGCTAGTTATTTCCTTGCTGCAGTACCAAAGATTGTCATTTTTGAATTAAAGCCTCTGGTTTTTCTAACTCATCTTTCATTGTTGATCATGGCAAGTGGATAATTAATGAATGTATATGTTTAGGTTATGAGGAATTTAAAACACACCCTAAGAATTGTAATGTTGATTGCTTTTAAATGTTGTAATGGTTTTGAGTCTGCTAATGATTCCTTAATTACATACTTGCTTTTCTTAGAAAATCAACTCATTTCATTATTAGTGATTAATTTTCTCTTAAATATTTAATTTAATATTTTAATAAATCACTATGCCTGGGATTCCATTAGATATTTGAAAAGATTAATTTAGTTTTTTTACCCAGGTAACATATACAATGGCTCAAGATGTGTGTTGTTTGATCTCACAATTTAAAAAAATACACATTAAGCACCGTGGAAATCCCAACAACTTCGGCAAGAAAGAGTATTTGTTTGATAGTTTCTTTGCTTGATAAATATGTGGACTAAATTAAATGGAATATCTTAATTCAGGTTTTGCTTCATGAGACTGATTAAGTGAACGTAGGCCTAGTGCTTTGAAAATTGGCCTATTGTAGAAGATTGATATTCTAATAGCCTAAAGAGAAACCATTTCTTATAAAATATATATATTTTGGAAAATGTGGTATTTCTCAGAAAACTGCTGAAATGAATTATTTATCTTTCCATCTTTATCTTTAATTCTATTACTTTCAAAGATCTAAAGCTTTCACTTGAAAATTAGGCTTTTGGAAAAAAAGACATTGAAACTAGTATTATATTTCATTGAGGTAATGAATATGAAGATTCATTTGCATAATCTTGTGATTTTTTTTTAAGTGAAAAATATTAATTAAGACCATAGGAATCTGATACAATATAAAGAATCATTGAGAAAAGACATCTTTCCCAATAAGAATATGATGGTCTAATACAGATTGAAAATATATAAAGCAAAAACTTAGAACTGTAAGAAAATAACAAATTTAGTGATTTTCATATACTAGTCATTTTTTTCTCAGATCAATTAAATAATAATAATTATGGATAGAGGATTTGAATACATTTACTTATATGATTTAATTAATAGTTAATAAGCTTTTTTCTCTCTAAACCTAAGAATATATATATATTTATTTATTATACTTTAAGTTCTAGGGTACATGTGCACAACGTGCAGGTTTCTTACATGTGTACACATGTGCCATGTTGGTGTGCTGCACACATTAACTCGTCATTTACATTAGGTATATCTCCTAATGCTATCCCTATCCCCTACCCCCTCCCCACAATAGGACCCAGTGTGTGATGCTCCCCTTCCTGTGTCCAAGTGATCTCATTGTTCAATTCCCACCTATGAGTGAGAACATGTGGTATTTGGTTTTCTGTTCTTGCGATAGTTTGCTGAGAATGATGGTTGCCAGCTGCATCCATGTCCCTACAAAGGACATGAACTCATCCTTTTTTTTTATTATTATTATACTTTAAATTCTAGGGTACATGTGCACAATGTGCAGGTTTGTTACATATGTATACATGTGCCATGTTGGTGTGCTGCACCCATTAATTCGTCATTTACATTAGGTATATCTCCTAATGCTATCCCTCCCCCCTCCCGCCTCCCCACAATAGGACCTGGTATGTGATGCTACCCTTCCTGTGTCCAAGTGATGTCATTATTCAATTCCCACCTATGAGTGAGAACATGCGGTATTTTGTTTTCTGTTCTTGCAATAGTTTGCTGAGAATGATGGTTTCCAGCTGCATCCATGTCCCCACAAAGGACACGAACTCATCCTTTTTTATGGCTGCATAGTATTCCATGGCGTCTATGTGCCACATTTTCTTAATCCAGTCTGTCACTGATGGACATTTGGGTTGATTCCAAGTCTTTGCTATTGTGAATAGTGCCGCAATAAACATACATGTGCATGTGTCTTTATAGCAGCATGACTTATAATCCTTTGGGTATATTCCCAGTAAAGGGATGGCTGGGTCGAATAGTATTTCTAGTTCTAGATCCTTCAGGAATCGCCACACTGTTTTCCACAATGGTTGAGCTAGTTTACAGTCCCACCAACAGTGTAAAAGTGTTCCTATTTCTCCACATCCTCTCCAGTACCTGTTGTTTCCTGATTTTTTAATGATTGCCATTCTAACTGTTGTGAGATAGTATCTCATTGTGGTTTTGATTTGCATTTCTCTGATGGCGAGTGATGATGAGCATTTTTTCATATGTCAGTTGGCTGCATAAATGTCTTCCTTTGAGAAGGGTCTGTTCATATCCTTTGCCCACTTTTTGATGCGGTTGTTTTTTTCTTGTAAATTTGCTTGAGTTCTTCATAGGTTCTGGATATTAGCCCTTTGTCAGATGAGTAGATTGCAAAAATTTTCTCCCATTCTGTAGGTTGCCTGTTCACTCTGATGGTAGTTTCTTTGACTGTGTAGAAGCTCTTGAGTTTAATCAGATCCCATTTGTCAATTTTGGCTTTTGTTGCCGTTGCTTTTGGTGTCTTAGACATGAAGTCCTTGCCCATGCCTATATCCTGAATGGTATTAACTAGATTTTCTTCTAGCGTTTTTATGGTATTAGGTCTAACATTTAAGTCTCTAATCCATCTTGAATTAATTTTCATATAAGGACAGGATCCAGTTTCAGCTTTCTACTTATGGCTAGCCAATTTTCCCAGCACCATTTATTAAATAGGGAATCCTTTCCCCATTTCTTGTTTTTCTCAGGTTTGTCAAAGATCAGATGGCTATAGATGTGTGGTATTATTTCTGAGGGCTCTGTTCTGTTCCATTGGTCTATATCTCTGCTTTGGTACCAGTACCATGCTGTTTTGGTTACTGTAGCCTTGTAGTATAGTTTGAAGTCAGGTAGCGTGATGCCTCCAGCTTTGTTCTTTTGACTTAGGATTGTCTTGGAGATGCGGGCTCTTTTTTGGTTCCATATGAACTTTAAAGCAGTTTTTTTCCAATTCTGTGAAGAAACTCATTAGTAGCTTAATGGGGATGGCATTGAATCTATAAATTACCTTGGGCAGTATGGCCATTTCACAATATTGATTCTTCCTATCCATGAGCATGGTATGTTCTTCCATTTGTTTGTGTCCTCTTTTATTTCACTGAGCAGTGGTTTGTAGTTCTTCTTGAAGAAGTCGTTTACATCCTTGTAAGTTGGATCCTAGGTATTTTATTCTCTTTGAAGCTATTGTGAATGGGAGTTCATTCATGATTTGGTTCTCTGTTTGTCTGTTACTGGTGTATAAGAATGCTTGTGATTTTTGCACATTGATTTTGTATCCTGAGACTTTGCTGAAGTTTCTTATCAGCTTAAGGAGATTTTGGGCTGAGACGATAGGGTTTTCTAAATATACAATCATGTCATCTCCAAACAGGGACAATTTGACTTCTTCTTTTCCTAACTGAATACCCTTTATTTCTTTCTCTTGCCTGACTGCCCTAGCCAGAACTTCCAACACTATGTTGAATAGGAGTGGTGAGAGAGGG